GCACTCCCTCAGTACTGACCCTCTGACAATGCGGCACTCCCTCAGTACTGACCCTCTGACAATGCGGCACTCCCTCAGTACTGACCTTCTGACAGTGCGGCACTCCCTCAGTACTGACCTTCTGACAGTGCGGCGCTCCCTCAGTACTGACCCTCTGACAGTGCGACACTCCCTCAGTACTGACCCTCTGACAGTGCGGCACTCACTCAGTACTGACCCTCTGACAGTGCGACACTCCCTCAGCACTGACCCTTCAACAGTGCAGCACTCCCTGAATGATGCCCTGGGGTTGTCAATGTGGTTTTGATGCTCAGGTGTCTGGCCTGGTGTTGAAAGCAATAACTCTGTGATGGGAACCTCAGGTGTCTTTTGCTGAGCTGAGCGCAGGTACAATGTGATTCCCACTTTGCTGGTTTCTCTTGTACCTTTCTCATAGGCCCACATTAGGCAAGTCTGTTCATCCTTCTCCCCACTGGAACGGCTGGGGTCTGAGGCCACCAGGTTCATGTCAGCTCCATTGTCCAATAGGAACTGCACCAGGCGGATGTGGCCATGGTAACAGGCACTGTGTAGACCTGTAATAAAAACCCATGTTCAGTCTCGCAGAGCAACATTGTCGGGAACATTTTAAGAAGCTCCTCAAACACCTCACGCAATATTGTGATTTAACAAAGAAATAGACCATTCACACTGACTCTTTGAAAGAAATGCTCCTTGATTTCCATGCTGTCTGCCTTTGACTGAGCTGCAAACATCCCTGCTCCAACTCCTCTAGTTCCTCTTGGAAGTTACTATTGAATCTTGGGCTTCCAGCTTCCTTTTGGGAAGGGCATTCTGGACCAACACACAAATAGGCAGACCACATCCAGCATACAAATTAGGAACAGGGATAGACAATTCACCCAGATCACAGCAGATCAGTTTGTGTCCCAAATGCCACATTCCCATCTCTTTGATAACCTTTGATGCCCTTTTCCGAACAAGAAGCTATCTAGCCCCACTTTAAAAATGCTCAATGACTTTCCTTGTCTTTCTCTCCACCTATTACATGCATGTTTTGCGGGTCTGTCTGTTTCTGTCTGTATGTGTGTGTAGGGGCCAGTTTTATAAAAGGGTTAGATTTTTAACTAGTGGAGTTATACTTTGACATTTCATAACAGTTTAAGAATCAGGAACAAGGACTAATACAGCACAGGAACAGGCCCTTCAGCCCACCAAGACTGTGCCGACACATGATGCCTTTTTAAAGTAAAAGACTTTTGCCTTTATGCGTCCCTATTAAGTACAGAAATCTGGTCCGTGCTTTCTACCACCCTGAGTCTGAAAGGCAGGGAAATCAGGGAATTGTGTGAACTTTTAAAATTCTTTGTAATGATTTTAGGAATAGTGGGGTTTGATTTTCAATGACAACAGCTAATTTTAAATCTGATGTAGGTAACTTTTGTGAAGCAAAGATATTAAGGGATTTGGGCCAAAGGCAGGTATATGGAGTTAGGCCACAGATCAGCCATGATCTAAATGAATGGTGGAAAAGGCTCAAGGGGCTGAATGGCCTACTGTTCCTATGTACCTCAGTCAAGTGTGAGACTCATCATAACCTCTTATACTTCTTACCAAAGAGTCTCTTAGCCCCTTCCACAATGTCTCATTTCTTACCCGTATGTCCATCCCTTCCCTGATGATTTATGCTCATGGCATTCTGGCTGATTAGAAACTTGACCAGCTCAATGTCTTTTCCATAAGTGCAGGAGCTGCAATCAAGGTTGGTAATGAATAAATGTCAAGCAATTCTTACACAGGAGAAAAGAACAATGAACAAGGAGGCAGTTCTGATGAGAGGGATTCTACCTGTGGAAAGAGGTTTCACTGAAGATATTTTCCTTGGTTAAGCTTTCCGTTCCTGAAAGGCGGATGAGTTCACTAGCCACATCCAGTTTTCCGTTGTAGCAAGCCCTGAGGGAAATGAAGAGAAACAAGACCAACTTATTTCTACTCACGGTAAACCTAGCAAGGCAGCAAGAGGAGACAGCCACATCCAGCCTCTGCTGCCATTAGGAAGAATTCCATCATATTTACAACACAGTCACCATCAATCATCTGAAAAACCCACCTGGTTCATTAATGTCATTTGGGAAGGTAATATGGCAACCTCACCTGGTCTGGCTTCAATGTGACTCCAGACCCACAGCAATGAATCCCAGAATTACAGCATGCTCACAAAGTACAAGGAGCCCAGTTGGCCCACTGTATATGCACCCAGGCTCGGACTCTCCAAAACAACTATTCTCCTGGCTTCTCTCTGTAACCCCACATATTTTTTCCTTTCAAATAATCATCTAACTCCCTTTGGAATGAACCTTTGTCCATTACAATCCCAGGCAGCACATTCTAGACCCTAACCAGGAAAATGTTTACAGTTTAGCTGACTACTTTAATTGTTTGCCCTCTCTCTTTCACTAGTGGGGACATTTAGAACATAGAACATAGAACATTACAGCGCAGTACAGGCCCTTTGGCCCTCGATGTTGCGCCGACCTGTGAAACCTATCTGAAGCCCATCTAACCTAAACTATTCCATTATCATCCATATGTTTATCCAATGACCATTTAAATGCCCTTAAAGTGGGCAAGTCTACTATTTTTGCAGGCAGGGCATTCCACGCCATTACTACTCTCTGAGTAAAGAACCTACCTCTGACATCTGTCCTATATCTATCACCCCTCAGTTTAAAGCTATGTCCCCTCGTGCTAGCCATCACCATCCAAGGAAAAAGGCTCTCACTGTCCACCCTATCTAATCCTCTGATCATCTTGTATGTCTCTATCAAGTCACCTCTTAACCTTCTTCTCTCTAACGAAAACAGCCTCAAGTCCCTCAGCCTTTCCTCATAAGACCTTCCCTCCATACCAGGCAACATCCTGGTAAATCTCCTCTGCACCCTTTCCAATGCTTCCACATCCTTCCTATAATGCGGTGACCAGAACTGTACGCAATACTCCAAGTGCAGCCGCACCAGAGTTTTGTACAGCTGCAACATGACCTCATGGCTCCGAAACTCAATCCCTCTACCAATAAAACCTAACATACTGTACGCCTTCTTAACAATGCTATCAACCTGGGTGGCAACTTTCAGTGATCTATGCACATGGACACCGAGATCTTTCTGCTCATCCACACTACCAAGAATATCTCGATTTACTCTGTTCAGACCTCTTATGACTTTGAAACCTTCAATTAAATCTGCTCTCAACCTCATCTTTTCCAAAGAAAATAATCTCAATTTCTCTAATCTCTCGTGTAACTGTAATTCCTAATCTCATTCTCATACGCCTCTTCTGCATTCTCTTGAACGTGTTCCCATCCTTCTTAAAGGGAGGAGCCCAGATTTGATGCTATACTCCAAATGAGGTCAAATCAGTCTTTTATTCAATTTCAACATAACTTTCTTGCTCTCCTATTCTATGTACCTATTAGGAAGGCCAAGGAAAGTCTGTGTTTTATTAACCACTCTTCCCACTGTCCTCCCACGTTTAATGACTTATGCACATGTACACCCAGGTTCCACTACCCCTGCACCCTTTTAGTGTGCATCTAACATTTTACATTGTCCCTCCACATTCTACTGACCAAAATGCATCACCCCTGCACTGAACCCTCATCTGCCACTGTCTGCTTACTCCACCAAATTATCTTTGCCCATTTGAAGTTCTTCATTGTCCTCCTCACATTTTATAATGCTTCCAATGTTTTGAACCATCCACAAGTTTTCTAATTGTGCCCAGTCCACAAAGCCCTGGTCATTAATATATATTGAGAAAAGCAATGGTCCTAACACTGACCCTGAGCAACTCAACTACAAGCATTCCCCAGCCTGAAAGACATCTATTATCGTTAATCTCTGTTTCCTGTCACTCAGCCAATTCCAGATCAATGCTACTTCTGTCCATTTTATTCCATTAGTTCTAACTTGGTGCATGGGTCTGGCATATGGCGCTGTGTCGAATGTTGTTCTGGAAGTCCAATGACTGCAGTGTCTTCATCAATCCTCTCTGTTACTTCATCAAAAACCTCCAGTTAAACATCTAGTTAAACATTGCTTTCCATTAATTAACCTTATTTTATCAGTGAGACTATTAAATTTTGTCCAAAATTATTCTTTTTACAAGTTTTCTAACCACTAAACTACTGTTTGGTTGATCGTTGCAATGTGGTTGACTCCCAACTGCCTTCTGAAATGGCTGAGCAAACCACCCAGTTTAAGACCAATAGGATGGCCAACAATGCCCACATCCCATTGAAGAATTTTCTTTTTTAAGAAGCCAAATGGAAAGCAGTTATGAACCCTGGAGGCCTCCTGGTCACACACTTCACCTCACCCTGTCAGCAGACCCTTCCATTCCTTCCATCCTCGTGTGTTTATCCAGCTCCACCCTCAATATATCCACATCATTACCCTTCAGCCCCTACCGTGGAAGTGAGTCTCACATTACCCCCTCCCTATGGGAGTGAGCCCCACATTCCCCCCTCCCTGTGGGATTGAGTCCCACATTCCCCACCTCTCCCTGTGGGAGTGAGTCCCACATTTTCCCCCCTCCCTGTGGGAGTGAGTCCCACATTCCCCACTCCCTGTGGGAGTGAGTCCCACATTCCCCTCCTCTCCCTGTGGAAGTGAGTCCCACATTTCCCTCCTCTCCCTGTGGGAGTGACTCCCACATTCCCCACTCCCTGAGGGAGTGAGTCCCACATTCCCCTCCTCTCCCTATGGGAGTGAGTCCCACATTCCCCTCCTCTCCCTGTGGGAGTGAGTCCCACATTCCCCTCCTCTCCCTGTGGGAGTGAGTCCCACATTCCCCTCCTCTCCCTGTGGGAGTGAGTTCCACATTCCCCTCCTCTTCCTATGGGAGTGAGTCCCACATTCTCCCCATGTCCATGTGGGAAGCTGTTTCTCCTGAATTCCTGATTGGATTTATGAGGGATTCTCCCATCGCTGTGGCTCCTAGGTCATGGCTGCTCTGTATGTTACCTTCCTCCAGCTGTATTGATACGACCTGCAAATCCTTAGCCTTAGAAACAAAAGCTGTGGGTACCAAATGACCACCCGCACCCATAGCTTTCTGTGGGACATTTCCAGATTTCCACTGCCCTTTGTGTGAGGACATGCTCCCTGAAGGGCTTGACTCTAAATTCAAACTCATGTTCTGAACTCCTGCATCAGAGGAAATAGTTCCTCTTCATCTAGCCCATCACCTCCTTTTGCCATCTGAACCAGGCTTAATAATCACCTCCACACACAGGAGAATGCAAGCCTCCTTCATCCAACCCGACCTCATCATTTAAGCCTTTCCTCCCAGGGACCATTCTGGTGAATTTGCTCTGCCCCCTCCAAGGCCAGTCTCTCCTTCCTGAGAAGCGAGATGCAGAACTGAACCCAGTTCCACCTGATGGGGCTCTGACCCAGGGTTTGAGAGAAACTGGAACATCACTTCCTCTGCTTTGTGTTAAAGTCCTCTCGCCTGACTCTCCAACATCCCATAAGTGTTTTACTTTGTACTTGTCTATTAGTCTTTGTGATAACCAAGGTGACAATGAAGAGAATGAATCAGCCAACTTACAGGTGAAGAGGTGTATCACCATAGATGTTCACCGCATGGGGATGTACATCAAAGTTCCCTTGGAGAAGGTACCTTACGATTTCACGGTGCCCAAAGCGGCAACTAAAATGGAGGGGTGAATGATCCTCGTTGTCCTGAGCGTTCACTGAGATCAGCAGATGACAAGAGATAACCACTCGTTACTAATATTGGATATATAATCAGCAATCACCGCTGGTTAGTAATGTTGGAGATATAACTCGAGATAACCATTGGTTAGGAATGTTGGAATGAAATTTATCTTTATCACAGTTTGATTTGTCGGATTATTTGGTTAGAGTGAATTTCCCATTAGGATTTGAAATGGTTTTAAGTTCTGTGTAGCTGGGAAGGGTTTAAACATGAGGATCCCAGCTCTTGAGAAACGTGGATTAGATTGATGTAACATGGCCAAAGAAAGCAGGAATTTCAGTGTACCACCTCATATTGAGACATTAGTGGTCTATTGAGAGATTACAGCCACACCCTGAACTTCAATGTTACAGTGACCACTTTGTTGAGAGCTGGAGGGGCCAGATCCTGATCCTTGATTCAACCTCTGATCCAGCTCTTCATTTGCCCTCCTAATCGAAGTGGACCTGATCCCAGGCCAGACTTTAATCTTCAAGCAGAGCCCAGTGTCAACCCTTATCCTGGCCATGATCCCAGCATCCATTGCAAAAGTAGGCAAACCCAGTGATCTGATGGAATCATGAGTCAGAAAGTACAGTTTTGACGTTTTCAATTGACTCCTGCCAAGTTTTAGCAGATATTTTAATGGGGAGAGTTGCAGATCTCCAGACGCTCCTGTGTGTGAGGATGTGCTTCCTGACATCACACGGATTGAAAGATCCTGCTTTCTTGTTTTGGACTGATCAATCAGAGATTCCAGAGTCTTCGCACTCGATTCCTTCACTACTTTTATCAGCCACTTCGACAGATGGATATCAGAATTGAAGTAACCATAACACAGGCAGCAGTTAGAAAAGCACTCAAGTTAGAAAAACATATGTTAGCTTTCATTGCAAGATAGTTTGAGTACAACAACAGGGACTCTTCCTGTAGTTGTACAGGGCCTTGGTGAGACCACACTGATGTATGTTGTGTGCAGTTTTAGTCTTCTTACCTAAGGAAGGAGATACTTACCAGAGAGCGAGTACAGTGAAGGTTCACCAGACTGAGTCCAGGGACGGATCTTACTGTCCTATGAAGAGGGATTGGTTCGACTGGGTCTGTATTCTCGTTTTTAGAAGAGTTTTTAGAAAAGAGCAGATCTGATTGACTGGGTAGAGGAATGGTGGTCCAGAGCAAAGGGAGACTGTCTCAGGATATGCTGTGGGCCATTTTGGACTGAGTTAAGGAAACGTTTCTACATTCAGAGATCAGTGAACCTGTGGAATTTTCTACCATAGAAGACTGTGGAGGCAAAGTCACTGAATATGTTTAAAAAAGAAATAGATTTCTTGGAGCTGAAGGTGATGAGGGACACAGGGAGAGAGTGGGAGTATGGCTCTGAAATGGGGGATGGGTCATTATCAAGTTGAACGGTGAAGCAAGTTTAATGGGCTAAATGGCCTACTCCTCTCCTGCTTTGTGTGTTGTATTATCCATACATTCCCTCATGCTACTTGTCTACTTCAATTCTATCTCCCTGCATTACCCCCATATCCTCGAAAACATTTAGTACCCACCAATCTATCAATCACATTGGAGATCATATTCGGGAAAGCTGTGAGTATTTGTTTGAGTAAATTTGTCTGTGTTGTCTAGGCCCGAAATGTCAGCCTTCCTGCTCCTCTGATGCTGCTGGCCTGCTGTGTTCATCCAGCTCTACACCTTGTTATCTCTGTGTTGTCTCACCGTCAGTTTTGCAGGCTTCAGTCAGCAGGAGTTTGACAATATTGGGATATCCTTTGGCACAAGCCAGATGCAGTGGTCTGTCTCCAACCTCCCCACTCACATTGGCATCAGCCCCGAACTTCAGCAGCAGCCTGGTTACCTGAAGGGAACAACAGCATCCCCAGTACAGAGGCTGTTACAGTGAGTTAGAGAGAAAATAGTCATTCGCTCAGAAACAGTTTGAGGTTTGCTGAAAAAAGACATGTTTGTTGAAGCTTTTCATCTCACACTCATCAGGACAACACACAAGAATACCAATTCTAGGGAAACCCAAAATGAATACCGCACGACAGGAGAGTGCTCTGTTGGTAAATGAACTCTGGATGGAGGAGGGAGGCAATGGCCTAGTGGTATTATCACTAGACTGTGAATCCAGAGAACCAGATAATGTTCTGGGGACTTGGGTTCAAATCCTGCCATGGCAGATGGTGGAATTTGAATTCAATAAATATCTGGAATTAATAGTTTAATGATGACCATGAATCCATTGTCAATTGTTGGGGGAAAACCCCTCTGGTTCACTAATGTCCTTTAGGGAAGGAAACTGCCATCCTTAACTGATCTAGCCTACATGTGACTCCAGACCCACAGCAATGCAGTTGACTCATAACTGCCCTCTGGGCAATTAGGGATGGGCAATAAGTACTGCCTAGCCAGCAACACCCTCATCCCATGAATGAATAAAAAAAATGTTCCAGTTGGGCATGTCAACAACTGATCTCACTTGGGATCATAGTGTGCCAACACCTTAGATGATAGCTGTTCCTTTACTTTCCTGAAAGCAACGGCTTGGCTACACAACCATTTCCAAAACTGACCCTTTTTTTTAAGAGTTGATGCAAAAGTGCCAGGATAGAGCCCAGGTTACATGGGAACTTTCCATAATAGTTCACTAACCCAAGGAAAGACATAAGCTCCAGTACAGACTTGAGAGCTGGGGCACCTTTGATCAGCCTCACTCTATCTTCCAACCAGCGTAACCCGGTCTTGTTGACTCTGTAGCCCAAGCAGGTCACTTGGGTCACCTGAAACACACAATTTTCCCTTCTAAGGCATACGTCCACATGGGAGAAATGTCTAAGGACCATGTCCAAGTTCTCTAAGTGCTCTTTATTGGTCTTCCCAGTGATTAGCATGCCATCTGGATAAATGGCAACCAGGGTTAGACCTTATAAAATGTTTGGCATCATCTGCTGAAATGTTGCACAGGCTGTTGATACCCCAGATGGTGGTCTCATATATTGGTACAAACCCTTTTGGGTATTAATTGTAGCATACTTCTGGAAATCCTCATCTAATCACAATTGCAAGTACACATAACTCATGTCCAGTTTTATGAAGGACAGCAACCCCCACCTGCAACCCCCCCAACCACCAGGCTTGTGTATAAACCCTCTCTGTGAGGGACGTGGTATTTATCCAGCTGTGAGAAGTGGTTTGCTGTTTGTTTTAAATCTCCACAAAAGCGAACCGGCCCATCAGGCTTCACAATCGGTACAACCGGTGCTGCCAATTCTACAAACTGGACTGGATTTGCTGATTCCTTCGCTTTCCAGCCTTCAGATTTCTGCCTCTCTTTTAACCCACAAGGTAAATGGCACTGGGCAGGCCTTAGAATTGCTTCCTGGTCAACATGCAAGGTAACCTTGGCTCCTCTGATAGTCCCTAGTCCATCCTGAAAATCTTCCGGATATTCATTAGGATTTCCCTCAGGCAGCCAGTTTCTAATCAAAAAATGTTGAGCCTATCAAGGTGAATCTTCCTCAACCAATTCCTACCCATGAAGCTTGGGCCCGAGCCTTTTACTACAATCCATGGTCACTGAACCAGCTTCTTCTCATAACAGACCGGAACCAAAGTTTTACCTTTAATCTGTAAAGGTTCCTGGTATAGGTTCTAAGTCTAGCCGAGGTCTTGTGCAAATTTATGGGTTGAGTCCAGAGTGAATTTTGTTAAAGACCGATACTGCTTTCACTGAAATGGCCATGCTAGTAACAACCTCCATTAGAACCAGGTAACCGTTTAACCTGATGATTTAGATTGGTTCTGATTTGGATGTTGCTAAGCAATTTAACTGTTCCAAGCCAGACATTGGTGGACTTCCCAGGGTGTGCACCCTCCTGGATACCGGCCTATGAGTTCTCTTACTCACATTAGGTCTAGTGAGACTCTTATGCTGTCCCGAGTCCACATACCGGCAGCAACTACACTAGCTTGTAGGCCTGGATCCTGAAGAACATTTTAACCATTTGGCTGAGGTTTGGCTTTATTTTGGGGTTTTGCTGAGGGCTTACCTAGAGTCCGTCTGTTCAGGATGTTCCCTGAACAAGGCTATACAATTGCCTTCATTCAAGTGGGGGCCCCCAAGCTCAGTCAGACTGGCGAGGGTGTCCACTTCCATTGGAATACCCTGTAACTCATATGTTACACCTGCCGCATTTTCCAATGATAAAGCCTGTTTGATGCCCAGTTGGGCTTCAGTTACTAGGCGCTTTTACATGGTTACATCATTAATCCCACATACCAAAGGGACTCTCAGCAAGTCATTAAGGGTTAAATCAAAGTCACATGCCTCTGCCAATCATCTTAACTGCGTCAAAAATCTCAACACGGATTCCCTGGTTCTTGAACTGCTGGGTAAAACCAATAACATCTCAGAGTTACAGGAGGCTAGGGGCAATATTTCTTAACTAAATCTGTCAGCTCTTGAAACTTTATGGTATCTGGTGCCTCAGGGAAAGTTAGGCTCCTAATAACTGAAAAACCTGCAACTCCACAAGCTGTCAGGAGAACTTGTCATTGACTTTCATCTGCCCCAATGTTATTTGCCCATGCTGGGTCCAATCTTCAACAGCAGGATTGAATGAGTCAAGCTTCCCAAATAATTACATGATGCCAGAAATGCTTGCCCCCAACTCAAAGATGACTGTTGTGAGCCAATTTCTTCGGGAGCATGCTTTTGTCTCATCACCACTGAAATAACTTTACAGAGACCAGTGTCCCATCACCAAGTCACCCTTTATTTACACATGGAAAGTCCTTGACACTGATCCATCTCCCTCAGAACCAGCTCTCAGAATGAACAGCACCTCTACCATTCCTGTCCTTATCTGTCAGTGAGGGCCCCCTGATTGGACCAGATTAGCAGCCCCAATCAGGGAGCTTATATTCTGTGGGATCCAGCTGGCTGATATTGTTACAATCACTGCACACATTGGCACTATCAACCATATCTTTAGGCCCTCTACCAGTTTATGCCTTGCCTTTTCTTCTCTAAAGAAAGAAGGCTTGACGTGTTCCTTCTGTCTTGATGGTAATAAGCTGTTGCTTTGGCATCATCCTTATACACCTTCTCCTGGGTCTCAATGGCCTTTGTGATAAACATACTCAGTACCTCCAAGTGTGGTCTAACCCAGGTTTAAGTAAAAGTTTAAGTAACGATGATACAGATATGTGTCTTTTATAAGGACCATGTCAACAGATGGGAAAATGGCTGTTTTAAAAACCAAGGATTGTGGAAGAATTACTGTATGTTTTTATAAGCAAATTACCAGACACTCTTTGTAGGTACTGTTTACATAGTTGCTGCTTTGAGCAGCACTAGATGTACATGAGCTGAAGCCAACAGCATATACAAATTCAGATTCAGCCAGCAACAAGTAGCTGATTGGTCTGTGGATTAGTGATCAGTTATTGATGACAAAGACCTACTGACTGCCAACAGATGTTTTGATTAATTCTCAGGGAACTGAACATTTTCACGCTGTGAGCAAGACACTGAGAAACCTTCAGACCTCCACCAGCTCAGCAGCTCTCTCTGTTCTCTGCAGTAAAAGCTACTTTAAGCCTGAAGAACATCATTCTTTTTTTTCCTTCAGCAGTTGCTGGTAGCTGTGACGTTTAACTAATAAGACAGAGACATTTTAGAATTGTTAACCAGTCACCCTTGTAGAAACCACTGAAAGCATCTAGAGAAAGAAGATTGAGAAACAATGTTCTGATCAGCACATTAACTATCACAGCAGATCGTGTGAATGGGAACCACTGAACTGCTTTCCCAGTCTCTCCCTCCATCCATAACACCCACGTTATTTTCCCTATTAGTGTGTGTTCATACGGAGGAGTTTATTGGGTTTAGAATTTTAACCAGTAGAATTATAGCCAATGTTTCAGTTAGGATGTCATGTTATGGCGGTACAAGACACTGGTTATAAACACATTTGGAATACTGTATACAATTCTGGTTGACCTGCTATAGGAAGGATATTGTTAAACTGGAAAGGGTGCAAAAAAAGATTTAAAAGGATGTTACCAAGACTGCAGGGTTTGAGTTATAAGGAGATTCTAGATAGGCTGGGACTTCTTTTCCCTGGAACATAGGAGGCTGAGGGGTGACATTATAGACGTTTATAAAATCATGAGGGACATAGATTATTTGAATAGCCAATGTCTTTTTCCTGGGGTAGGGGAGTCCAAAACTAAAGGGCATGGGTTTAAGGTGAGAGAGGAAAGATTTAAAAGGGACCCAAGGAGCAACATTTACACACAGATGGTGGTATGTATATGGAACGATCCGATGAGGAAGTGGTAGAGGTGCATACAATTACAACTTTTAAAAGACATTTGGACAGGTACATGGATTGGAAAGGTTTAGAGGGATATGGGCCAAATGCAGGCAAATGGGATTAGTTCTGTTTAGGAAACCTGGTCAATATGATTGAGTTGGGCCAACAGATCTGTTTCCATACTGTATGACTCTAAAATAGCTTACCTGCAGCTAGAGTCTACTTACATGTAATGACTAGTAACCTTTGTTAAGTATAGAGATATGACCCATGCTTTCTATGTTTTATGGGTCTGAAAATAAGGTAAATTCAGAAATTCTGTCCCCTTTCTGAAATTGTTAACTTTAATGATGATTCTGGATACAGTGGGATTTGAGTCCCAGCACTGTACCCCAGTGAGGTAATGACCCAGTGCAGCCAACTCGAACTTCTTTCAACTTTCTGACTTCATCTAGTAAAGACTACACACTAAACTGTCTGCCCATTACTCATGGTCAGTTCACCTGTTACCTGCTCATGGCCATAATAAGCGGCGATATGTAAAGGTGTGAAGAAGACAGCATCCTGGACATTGACAAAGGCTCCATGCTGTAATAGGATGTCAACCGTCTGTGGAAAATAACCAGAGAAGGTTAGGAGGGGAAACCAGGAAAGAAACAAAACTGTTGCAATTAAATTCATATGGCGGAGTTTAGAACATGTGGTTATTTTTGAATCATTCATGGGTTCTATGAATCACTGCAAAAGCAACTCTGATCAGTGGTGAGCTGTCAGAGGAGGAGATCTGTCTTCATTACCTTGTCTGGTCTACACTGTGACTCCAGACCCACAGCGATGTGGTGGCTTTTAACTGCCCTCTGAAATGATACATTCTAACATATGAATTAGGGGCAGGAGGAGGCCATTCAGCCCTTCAAAACTGCTTTACTGTTCATGAAGCCTTTACACAAAGACGGGAAGGCAATGGCCTAGTGGTGTTATCACTAGTTATTAATTCAGCGACCCAGGTTTGAATCCTACCATTGTAGATGGTGGAATTGGAATTCAATAACATAAAATCTGGAATGAAGAGTCTAATGGTGACCATGAATTGATTGTCAAAAAAACCCATCTGGTTCACTAATGTCCTTTAGGGAAAGGAACTGCCATCCTTACCTGGTCTGGCCTACAGACCCACAGCAATGTAGTTGATTCTTAACTAAACTCTTGGCAATTAGGGATGGGCAATAAATGCTGCCCAGCCAGCAACACCCTTATGCTGTGAATAGATATTTTTTATAAATTGATTGACTGCAATGTCTCAATAATAGCTGACCAGATTGTGGTCACTATTGTATTCTTACCTACTCCTGCCAAGTCATACAGTTCAGGGGCAAATCATATACTGGCAGCAAATGTCGGACTAGGCAGCAAAGCCTACATCCCTCAGAAGAATTTAAAAAAAACTACTTTTTTGTGATTCAGCAAAAAAACAGCTGACTGTTCTAACATATAGGACAGACAGGGTATGGTCAGCAGATTTCCTTCCCTGAAGGATATTCATAAACATCACAACCATCTGGTAGGTTGAATGTCACTGTTATTGACAATGATATTTCTTTACATCATCGGGAGAGCAAGGTTACAGTCTGGGAAGTAAAACCAAAACGTTCTGGAGAAACTCAGCAGGTCTGGCAGCATCTGTACAGACAGAAAGACAGTTAATGTCACACGTCCAGTGACCCTTGACCCTTTGTCAGACTGTAGTCTGGGAACTTGGCCCTAATTCATATGTTAGAATGTATCATTTCAGAGGGAAGTTAAAAGCCACCACATCGCTGTGGGTCTGGAGTCACAGTATAGACCAGACAAGGTAATGAAGACAGATCCCCTCCTCTGACAGCTCACCACTGATCGGAGTTGCTTTTGCCAGTGATTCAGAGAACCCATGAATGATTCAAAATAACAACATGTTCTAACAAACTGCCAAACAAAATATATGACAGCTCACATGTAGGCAGCTTCATTAAAGAACTAAAATTTTCCAATTTCTTTCAAGAATTTTTATCAAGCAAAATTGAAAATGCTATATCATTTTTAGAAAGCATTTGCTAAGGTACCAGACATTAGGCTACTTAGTAAGATAAGAGCTCATTGTGTTGGAGGGAGTGTATTGGCATGGATAGAGGATTGGATAACTATTAGAAGACAGAGAGTTGGGATAAGGGGCATTTTCATGAAGGCAACCTGTGACTAGTGGAGTGCCACAGGGATCAGTGCTGGGGCCACAATCATTTGCAATATATATTAATGACTTGGATGAGGAAAGTGAATATACTGTAGCCAGTTTGTGATGACACAAACATAGGTGGGAGGATAAGTAGTAAGGATGACACAAAGAGTTTGCAAAGAGTTATGGAGAAGTTGAACAGATGGGTAAAAACTTGGCAGGCGGACTATAATGTGGAGAAATGTGAGGTTATGCACTTTGGCAGGAAGAATAGGGATCTGAATATTATTTAATTGGAAAAGACTATGGAAAGCTACATAATAGAGGGATTTGGGAGTCCTTGGCCATAAATTACAAAAAACTGAGGATATACCACTGGTCTTATTACGTTAAAGGTGCTGTGTAAATCCAAGGTATTATTAATGATTTCAGAGTGTAGCCTTACCTCATTGTTAGCTGCAATGGTTGCAATGTGAAGAGCAGTGAGTGCTCCATAGCCCACCTGCTGAATGTCAGCTCCCCCATGCAGCAGTGCAGTGACTAGCTCAGTATTGTCCTGAAGAGCAAGAAACATTGTGTTCACCTTCATCTCACTCACAGCAAGCTACAGCTCCATATGCTGGGCTCAGGAGTTACTGCAGGTACGGCTCATGTGCAGGTAATCCTTCCTCCTCTACATCAGCACCAACATTAAAATTTACTATCAAAATTAAACGCTAATCTGATTGAGGTGATCACAGTGAGTAAGGAATTCAGCTGGGCCAATCAAGAGGCACAATTTCTTGTGGTGGGATAAGCGACATACAAGGGGAGGGATGGTAAAGTTTCAGAATCCAAGCCAGGCCATTCAGGGGAATGTAAGGAAGCATTTCCTCACATGGAGGCTGTGGAAACCTGTAACTCTCTCTCCCGTCAAAAGCCACACAGACCAGAGGGTTAATCACAAATGTCAAAACTGAGATGGAAAGATTATTGCTTCTTCAGGAGATGAAGAGTTACCAAATCAAATGGGATGATCGATGGAGTTAAAAAACGGATCAGCCACGAACGAATTAAACAGTAAAACTGATCGGAGAGGCTGAATGGCCAATATTACACTTTTCCACATCAGACAGAATCCAATGGAAGTCTCTCTGGAGTGGTTGTAGCTGTGGGATCTTCCTCTATTCAGGGGAAGAAACCTCCACTCACCTTGAAAGCAGCCAGATGTAGCGCCGTGAATCCATTCCTTGTCAGTCTCGATGGACGAAGGCCTTTGAGCATCAGGGTCCTGACATGGGCCTTGGTACCTTTCATAGAGCAATCGTTTATATTGATATACTGGGGACAGTGTTTCTGTTCCTGCACTAATCACCCACAGTCATCATGTTTAAAGACTGCAAGAGCATTGTCAATTCAGTTAATTCAATTAATTTGCAATTCAAAGATAATCCCAGGATAAAACTATTAGAACATAGAACATAGAACATTACAGCGCAGTACAGGCCCTTCGGCCCTCGATGTTGCGCCGACCTGTGAAACCAATTGGTTTATTCTGTCCTTTCAGGGCAAAATGCTATTATTACTTGGTCCAGCTCCTCATTGCTTGGTTATCTGATTCCAAACCTCTCCAAACAGTAACCTCATTTATTCTTCTCTTTTCTGAAGCAATTTGAAATATTGTCACAAAAACGACAAGTGATCCACACAGACTGCAGCAGTTCAGGAAGATAGTTCACCACCAACTTCCATTGGACAACTAGCAATGGGCAATGAATGCCAGCCTTGCAAATGATTCCCACAGCCTGAGAATGAGTGGATAAAAAAAATCCCACCATGAGTAGAGGCTATTCAGATGGAAAGGGGAAGATTTATTGAAAATGCCAATGAAGTCAACATCACAGCTTGTAGGTCCACCATGGAGATCAAGGTCTGGACATTGACAAGAAATGGGGAGAAATGTCTTCACCCAGATAGTGGTGAGCTATGGAATTCTCTGCTATAAAAAGCAGCTGAGGCCAAAACATTGCATGTTTTCAAGAAGGAGTTGGATATAGTTCTTAGTGCTATAGGGATCAAAGGGTTTGAGAAAAAAGTGGGAATCGGGCTCTGAGTTGGATGATTAACCATGATGATATTGATGGTATGATAGAGCTGAAAGGCCTACTCTTGTTTCTAATTTCTATTGTTCTATGATAAGGCCCCATCACTGGGAATTTCCAACTTAGGCTCCAGCGCACAGGCACAATTTGTCTTCAGGAAATCATAAACCAAATCCTTGGTGAGGCCACAGCTCGAATGCCTTTTCTTTTTTATTTCAGGGTCATGGGAGTCACTGGCAAAGCTGACATTTATTACCCATCCTTATCTGCTTTTGAACTAGGCTGTTAGCGAAGTGATAATGTCATTAAACCAACAGACAAGAGCCCATCTTCGTATTCTGGGTTATGGGTTGAAATCTCACTTTGGCAGTATTTAAAAAATTCAAATGCAATCAACTTGTCTTGAATTTTGAAAAACAAGATAGTCTCAATAATGGTCAATTACTGTAAAAACTCATCAGCGTCACTATTATCCTTGAGGGAAGGAAATCTGCCTTCTTTGCCTGGTCTGCTCTACATTCTTTTTTCTTTATTCATTGATGGGATGAGGGCGTTGCTGGTGAGGGAGCATTTATTGCCCATCCCTAATTGCCCAGAGGGCAGTTATGAGTCAACCACATTGCTGTGGGTCTGGAGTCACATGTAGACCAGACCAGGTAAGGATCACAGTTTCCTTCCCTAAAGGACATTAGCAAACCAGATGTGTTTTTTTCCCCGACAATGGATTCACAGTCATCATTAAACTCTTAATTCCAGATATTTTATTGAATTCAAATTCCACCATCTGCCATGGTGGGTTTTGAACCCAGGTCCCCAGAATGTTGTCTTGATCTCTGGATTAACAATCTAATGATAATACCACTAGGCTATTTAACTATATGTGGTTGATTATGAGATAGCCACCGTAAGCCACTCAGTTGAAAGGCTTAAGAATGGATAACAAATGGTAACCTTGTCAATGAGCCTCATCCCCAGAAAGGGATAAAGAGAAAAAAGTTTGAGAATGCATTAGCTCTGGATTACAGGTCCACATTACCACCAAGCCACCACCTAAGCAACCCCACACTTTAGGATTAAGTGTCAGGCTCTTAAAGAGCAGACAGATTAAAGAGAGGAAAAGGAAAGGAGTTCCTTTCTCGATCACCTTTCACAATTTCACACCATTCTAAAGCATCAATGAAATACTTACCAGTTAAGTTACTGCTGTCATGTAGGAACTAGATAAGGTGGAATAACCAGCAGTGTGATAGAATCATAGAATGTTACAGTACAAACGGAGGCCATTCAACCCATCGTGACTGTACCAGCTCCCAAAAGGGCTACCCAGCCAGTGCCACTCTCCAAACCTATCTCCATAGCCCTTTAAATCTGATATTGATCAGATGGTCTGTTTATTTTTGTGTTGTTGGTTGAACGATCAATACTGGCCCCAGGACACAGTGGATAAGTCATCCCCCATCTTCAAAAATACATGAGCAGTGGGTCAGAATCTCTATTTTATGTTTCATCTAAAAAAAAATGTACTTAGAATGAACTTAGAATTCCTGTAGTGCAGAAAGAGGCCATTTGGTCATTGAGTCTACGCCAACCCTCCAACGAGCATCCCACCTAGACCCACACAATTCCAGTAACCCTGCATGTTGTATGGCTAATTCACATAGCCTACAAATCCCTGAACACAATGGGTAATTTAGCATGGCCAATCCACCTAGCCTGCACATCTTTGGACTGTGGGAGGAAACCGGAGCACCCGGAGGAAACCCACGCAGACACAGGGAGAATATGCAAACTCTACACAGACAGTCACCCAAGGGTGGAATCAAACCCAGATCCCTGGTGCCATGAGATAGTTGTGCTAACCACAGAGCCACTGTGCCAGCCATCCTTGGTGAATGTGGAGAGACTGGAGAATCTGGGATTGTTCTCCTCAGAGTAGACAAGGTTCAGCGGGTTTAACCGAGGTGTTCAAAATCATGAAGAGATTTTGATCAAGTAAATGAGGAGAAAATGCTTCCAGGGCAGGACGGTCAGTGAGCACAGGGAGACAGATTGAAGGGAATCATGCAGCATTACAGTGAAAGAATGGGCGAGTGGGATAAATTGATAGCTCTAACAAAGATCCAGTACAGGCACAATTGACTGAATGGTCTCCATCAAGCCGTAAGAATCTGTGATTCTTGTAAAATCTACCTAGGCACTTTCACATGAATTATCAGAAAAAAAATGTTGAAACTGAGCAACACAAGCAAATATTAGATGATCAAAAGTTTGGCCATAAACATAGAAGTTGAGGAGGCAGGAGTGGAGGTGGAGAGGTTGAAGTTGAGGAGACAGGAGTGGAGGTGGAGAGGTTGAGGTTGAGGAGACAGGAGTGGAGGTGGAGAGGTTGAAGTTGAGGAGATAGGAATGGAGGTGGATAGGTTAAGGTTGAGGAGACAGGAGTGGAGGTGGAGAGATTGAGGTTGAAGAGACAGGAGTGGAGGTGGAGAG